CCACCGTAAATCGGACTGGGCCTCAGGATGTGCCCATGCTTGAGGAAACTATGTCTTCCTGGGGTGCGGCAGGCCCTGATCACCCCGCAGTGCAGCGCCCGCCCCAGCCCTTGCTGAGGGCTTCTGCTTCAGTTGACCTCTCCTTGATCAACGCCCCCCCCCCCCCCCAAAAAAAAAACCCCTCACACTCACCCCAGAGCAACCATGCACGGGCCACGGCGGTGGCGGCGCGCTACTGCGGCCTGGACTCCCACCTCATTCTGCGCACCTCCCGCCTGGCGGCGGACTCCGACCCGGGGCTGGTGGGGAACCTGCTGGTGGAGCGGCTGGTGGGCGCCCACATCCACACCGTGACCAAGGAGGAGTACGCGGCCGCCGGCTCCCGCGCCCTGACCGCCCAGCTGGAGCGCCAGCTGCGGGGGCAGGGCGCGAACCCTTATGTCATCCCGGTGGGCGGGTCAAACGGCCTGGGCACCTGGGGCTACCTGTCCTTTGTGGAGGAGCTGAGGGGCCAGGCGGCGGACCTGGGCCTCACAGACATCGTGCTGGTGGGCCTTGGTGGGAGTTTGTGTTCAGTATGGGCGTGGAAGGGGGTGGGAAAGGGATGCCGTCGGCTGGCGGCTGGCGTCTGCGAATCAGGAGGGAGTGGCCTGCCGTTCCCTGCAGCACGGCAGACCGTGGCGTGCCAGGGGAGGGGCGAGCCCTTGCCATAACCCGACCAGTGGGCTAGGTCACTGACACCAGAAATTCAGACAAGTGCGCTCCCCCCCCCATTCCCAACCTTTCAATTTATAGGCGTGCGGGAGCGGGAGCACCGCCGCCGGCATCGCGCTTGGCAGCCACCTGGCGGGCCTTGGCGTGCGGGTACACGGGTACGCCGTGTGCGACAGCGAGGACTACTTCTACGCCTTCATCGACGACCTGCTAGACCAGGTCGCCCCGGCAGAGGCGCGCGGGGGGGCGGGCGCCAGGGACCTCATCAGGTGTCTTTTGGGATGGTTTGGGGGTGGGGGTGTGGGGGGGGTGGGGAGGGAGAGGGAGCAGAAACACTCC